TATGATTTTATATCATATTAGAAGAACAATTGAAAAGTTAAATGATCATGGGCATGTCAAAATAATATCAACAATGATCAGTAATATTCAATGACGAAGTAACATATTTCAAGAATTCCAAAGAGTAAAAAAACTTCTCGAGACTTGAATTATAATTAAACTGTTGTTTTTTCTCTTGTTAAAAAAATATTCGAATCTGAAGTGTAATTGACCATTTACATGTTTTCAGCATTGTTCTTTCGACTGAAGGTTGAGTCATTTTGAAATAAAATATGTTTGTTAGCACGTGTAAAGGCACGTGTGACATATACTTGTCAGAGTATAGAAGAGTTATACGAAATGGTTTTTTTTTCATACAGTCAATTCATTCAGCCCATGGGTTGTTTTTGCTGCTTAGGCCTCGACCAATCAGATTTTTTTCATGCTAATGAATGATACTTTTCGTCGATGAAATTTTAGGAAATCTGATTTGTTGAACTTTGAGGTTAGTAGGTTTGGTTTGCTTAACGATATTGTCAGACAGAGAAATATATTTTGTTTTAAAACTCTTAAAATGTTGAGAAAAAAGTAGATGATAGCGAGTATTCGACTATTTTTTTAACGATAAACTGCAGTTTCATTCATAAGCATCATTATTACTCTTGATTCACTACGCTATTATAATTTAGCATCAAAGTAGGAGTAAAAAGATTGTATACATACGTTGGAAATAATCATCAATTATTACTCCCAGATGAAGTGAAGTATAGAAAAGATAATTTTAAACATTCAAACAAGGTTCAGCCAAGGTGAAACGACAAGCGTTATTAGTCCTTAGATCTTGAACAACATTTGAATAATTTCATAAATCCTTCACTACTTTTCAGGTTGGTTTAGTACTAAACATTGAATCTGAGTTTGAACTTCATGATGAGAGTTCTTTTTTTAATAATTTAATATCAATTGAAATCATGGACTCTTGGAAAATTTCAATGAAAAATATTTTAAGAAGAATATTTGATATTTTAGAATATAATGACATTTAAAAAATGTTCAATTGGAGGAAAACTCTATGGTTATGTTATGGATGGTAATGGAAATGAAATTCAAGATATAAAAGTAATATTAAAAAATTGTTATTCTTTTTTGATTTTTATTACATTGTTAAGAAACTTGAACCGATTCAATTTGATGAACAAGATCAAGAATTTGTTTGGTATGATAAGACTCTATTAGATGCTATTAGAAATAATGATGAAAATGTTAATCATTTTTTTACATCATTATCATTATGTCATACAGTTATGCCTGAAGAAAAAAATGGAAAGATAATTTATCAAGCTCAATCACCTGATGAAAATGCACTTGTATCAGCATCACGTTCTTTTGGCTATGCTTTTCAAGTGAATATTTTCTATCTTTATTAATATATATTTTCAATATAATTTTTTTTTCTTCCTTATTTAGAATCGTACTCAAAATAGTATTACAGTGCGTATTAAAGATAAAGAAGAAACATATCATCTTTTGAATATTCTTGATTTTAATAATGAAAGACAAAGAATGTCAGTAAGTACTCTTCAAGTACATTTTATTATATTTGTTTTTTTTTGTTTATTTTTTTTCTTAAATTATTCAAAGGTTATTGTTGAGAAAGATAATCAAATATTCCTTTATTGTAAAGGGAGTGATACAAAAATTAAAGAAAGATTAGCCAATTCTCAAACAAATATTATCAATCAGACAGATGAACATCTATATGTTAGTCATATCTTTAAAATAGTTACTTATATCATTGAAAAATTTTGTTTTCTTGAATTTTTTTTTCTTTAGAAATTTGCAAATGATAGTTTACGAACGCTATGTTTAGCATGGAAACAATTAGATAGATCAGAATATGATCCATGGGCAGCAAAATTCAGTGTTGTTAAGTGAGTTTTCATCTTATCAAAGATTTGACAATCATTTAAATATATCTAATGACTTGTTTGTTAATCAAATTTTCATTCAACCTTACAAAAAAAAAAACCTTAACTACTTTCAAGAAAAACATGCCTTGATTAGCGATTTTAACTCCTAATTCAATATCTTTTCGATTAGAATATCAGATGAGTTCGAAGACAAGAATACAATAATTGTATCCGAATATGGATACCATCGACCACTGATTCCGAACATCGGTATTTTGCTTCCAATTTCTTACTAGTTCTCAAAATTTCCCAATTGCACATAGTTGTATATCATTTACTAGGCTATTGAATTGAAAAATTTTTTGCAAACAACTTATGTAAATAGTCTCACCTATTTGTGTCTGTTGCCAGAATAGCTCAACTTTGTTGAACTAACGAAGGAAGTTTCACAATCTATAAATCGCTTTCGACAAGAAACTACGTAACGAAAACAGCTCAGACCTTTAGCTTATTGCTACCGAGATACGCTACTTTTTGTAGATGGATGCCATGCTTTTCTCGGGAACATTAGAAAAACTGATTTTTAAGTTTTTCAATCGAAACTTTGCATGCAGAAGAGTCTTAATGGGAATGGTTTCTGGTGAACTTTTCAGATCTTGTTGTTCTTCCTATATTAAGATAAAACTATGGTCAAAGCATTTTGTTTTGTAAGTCTCTCATTTATAACGACAAATTCGATGTTCTTATTTCAGGATAGAAGCAAATAAAAACACCAGAGACTTTCATAATAAAGTATTTTCATTAAGACTTGTCTATGTACAAATTTTCAACGAAAAATTCGAAAATTAGTTATCCTGGTGTTTCTGACAGAGAACACAGGATTCAATTAAAAAAATTAGAGTAAATTTGCAGTATCTACGCTGCGATAAGTTAAGGACTTAAACTCTTTATAGGATATTCAATATTCATTTGAGTCTACATGATGTACATAGTTTCGACTCAAAAGCAATCAATTAATTGGAGAACTTCAATGATGAATATAAGACTCTGATCCGTTAACATGGTTTCTTTTTATTCGATATCCTAATTGAATTATAATCGTACTAAACTACTGAGTTAACATTGTCAGCAGATGATTATTGATGCTCAAATTCAACGCGATCAGTTTATCTAAAAAAAATATCAAGTAAAACATCAAACGATTGAAATGAATAGGCTGAAAACGTTTTGACATTTTCAACATTTTAAATGACGTTTCTTTGAATCAATTTTAAATATTGAATTTCGCTAGTTTATTACAACAGCATAATTTCATAGAAGATTGTTTGACACAAATAAACCTGATTTAACTTTTAAAAATTACACGAAATTCAATATTCTCTTGAAAATACACGTGAAGGGTTTTCTTAGTATTGTCAGATAAATAGATGAGATTAAATATGAATGAAAATAAAGTTTTTGAAAGTATAGTACTACTATGGAACAACGCGATGAAAAAGTAGCAGAAATGTATGAACAGATTGAAACAAATTTAATATTGCTTGGTGCTACAGCAGTTGAAGATAAACTTCAAGATGGAGTGCCTCAATGTATTCAACGATTAGCTGAAGCTGGAATTAAAATATGGCTATTAACTGGAGATAAAATCGGTAAATTGATTTTTCTATTCTTTATTTATTTATTTTTTTCATTTGTTTCGGTGTCTTATTTAGAAACAGCCTATAATATAGGTCTTTCGAGTCGTTTAGTAACAAATGAAATGGAAATAAAAACTATTGAAGAAAACAGTGAAGAACTAGTTGCTGCTAAATTAGAAGAAATACGAAATTCAATGATTGACAAAATAGAACAATTCTTTGATGTTAATATTGATGATCGAAATAAACGTCTCGATTGGAAAACATGGGGAATCAATGTTCTCAAATTAGATCAATTTAGAAAAGCTTCTTATTATGAACATAATAATATTACAAGTATGAAATCTATTCTATTAAGTAGGGAACAGCCACCAAGTAATAATAATGAACAAGATCGAGAACCATTTCAAGGTTTTGCAATTGTAATCACTGGTCAAGCTTTAATTTATGCTCTGTCTGACAATTTAAAAATGAAATTTTTGGAATTAGGAACAATGTGTAAAGCAGTTATTTGTTGTCGAGTAACGCCGATACAAAAAGCACAAGTTGTCGAATTGATCATGCAACATGAAAAGAAAATAACATTAGCTATTGGTGATGGAGCTAATGATGTTTCTATGATACAAAGTAACAATTTTTTTACTTAAGAATATTATTTTATTTTTTTTTATGCATTTCTAGAAGCTCACATAGGTATAGGGATTTCCGGTCAAGAAGGTCAACAAGCTGCATTAGCAAGTGACTTTAGTTTTGGACAATTCCGTTATCTAGAACGACTCTTATTAATTCATGGACGTTTATCATATGTTCGAGTTGCGAAATTTTTGCGTTATTTCTTTTATAAAAACTTTGCATACACATTTTGTCATTTTTGGTTTGCTTTCTTTTCTGGATATTCCGCTCAAGTAAGTTCTTTGTGATGTTTTTGTAGCATGTTGATCGAAATATATAAATTAATTCTAAGAATTAAATGAATCTATTTCGAAAACATCTACAAATAAATTTATTTTTAATAATTTTTCTTTTATTTGTACTTAAATAGACAATTTATGATCCAATATTTGCTGCATTATACAATACTTTATTTTCAACATTTCCTATTATGGTAATAAGTGTCTTTGATCGAGTAAGTAGTTATTGTCAATAATAATCAAATAAATAAACTTCATTACTGATGAACATTGATCTGAATTTTCGAAAGGCAATGAATATTTATTGTTATTATTTATTGTTTAGGATTTAGATGACTATTATTCATTGAAGAAACCATATCTGTAAGTTAGTTAAGATGTGATTCCATTAATTTTACTTTTTGTTTGTTTTCTTTTTTTTTTTTTGATATTTACTTGGTCAAACAAATAAATTATTTAACAAAAAAATCTTACTTGAAAGTGTAGTACAGGGAATAATCACATCATTAATCATTTTTTTTGTGTCCTATTTATCTTTATCAAATGGTTCACTATTTGTTCGAATGACACAAATTGATCTTCAATCATTTGGATTTATTATTGGAACAATAATAACTGTGGTTGTTAATTTAGAAAATGCACTTGAAATTTGGTATTGGACTAAATTCTATCATGGAGCATTATGGATTACAATTATTGTATATTTTCTTTTCCATGTGGCAGCTTATTCAACAATTGTTTCAAAAATTTTTCGAATCAATTATAATTATGTGGGCGTTGCACAGGCTGTTTTATTGAGTGGACGTTTTTGGCTTATACTTGTACTTAATTGTACAATACTTTTATTACCTGTTTATTGTCGAGAGTAAGTTTTATTTATTAAATTAAATTAATCTTTTTCTGTTTTTATATATAACAAAAAAGATTTTATCGAATGCGATTTCAACCAAATGAAATTGATAAAGCAAGAATCAATCAAAAATATCGTCATGAAGAAAAAGCAGAATTTCTAACTGATATTCGTCAAAAAGTTCATTTAAAAAAACATCTTGCTCGATCAAGTTATGCATTTGCACAAGAAAAAGGTTGGGGACCATTGATAACATCAGGTAGAATGCAAATTAGACCTAATCCATATTCACGAACTTCACATGATCTTGGTGTTAGTATTCTTTTCTATTTAATACAAATCATTTTTGTTTTATTTATTCCAATTATTCGTTTTTTTTTTCTTAATAGATGATACACACAGATCGATCACACTTAGAAAATCTTCGAAATCTTGCAGAAACATTATAAAAATGCTGATAATAAATAGAAGTAACAAAATAAAATATTTAAAGATCAAGAGATTCATATATCAGTATATTCTTGTTCTTTGTCGATTTTTGCACTGTAATAAAACTATTTCTTATTGGTTATTCGTTGCAACCTCATGTATTAAGATATGTAGGATCAAGTTTTCTTTTTCATCGTGGTAATTTTTTTTTGTTTGCTTCTCACGTCGATATAAAAAAAAACAATAGTTTGCAAAATTTAGCTCTCATGCAACCTAAAAAAAACCAGTTAAATTGTCATTGTTTGTTTTTTTCAATCAACGAAACCATTCGATTTTTCTCAAATATTATTAATCCTGCAATGTTTTCTAACAGGCATGGTAAATATCAAATGTCTTTCAACACCTTGTAGAAGAGATGCAGGAACATCTTATCATAGGTTTAAAGCATTTAAAAGGATGAGACGTATAACAACTCTGTGTGAACACTATGAATACTGATCAATATTTTCACCAAAGAATGTTAGATCTAAAACAATATCTGTGTGTCATAAGACAATCTCATTTTAAAAAAGCAAATGAAATGAGAAAACTGTGAAGAAAAATGAGTAGTTCGATGGTAGAAAGGCCAAAAAGTATTCAGAGTAAGGCCTGTTTTAGGACATTATTCGGAGGAGTTGTTTGAACGATAGCGTGGATACTTGAGTAAAAGAGACACAAAAAACTGATCTGCATTTTTGTTTATGTTCGCGAAAACTATCAGAAGAATCGCAGGTCGGAGTAACATTTTGATCACGTCATTCATCGTTATTAATAACCTAAAAAGTAGTTTAGATACAGTTGCCATCATACTCGAGTATGAATTGAATAATGCTTTTTTTCTCATACTACGCTATCATAAATGAAATTAGTTATGACTACGAGTATACAGGTAGCTAACGATGAGTATCGTCTCACTCTCTCTGTTATGATACATTCGTCATTCCCTTACAGCTGTGCTTCTGCTAGGGTCTCTAATAGCCAAATTTTTATACAAAAAATAAAAGCAAGAAATATCGAAAGAGATAGAAAAAAGTTGCGATGAATCACCTCAGGTATGTATATGAATCACAGATATATGTTTATTTCATTTTATGCTCATATTTACATATAATTAGAAACGTGTCAATGGAAGGACCACTCTGATGGGTGTATGTGAAGTTATAAACATTTATTTTCATCCAATGAAACGAAGCACTATAAGTGTACATTGAGAAATTTAAAATATCAGTCTTCCTCAATATGTCTCTCAATTATTATGAACATTATACTAGTAACCACTAGAGATCGATCAAAACATTTTATGTTATTTTCTTCATGTTCAGTATTGGATAAATTTCTTCAGCAATGTTGAACAAATTGTTTTGTTGAAATCTGTTAAATGAAAAATTATACTTGTCTTTGATGCTTTTCCAATATGTGGCTACCATTTCTACCTCACAAAAACTTGCTTAACTTGCCTATTATCAATATGTAAAACAGCCGGAATGACATGTTTTTTTTATACAGAAACGTTGAATAAAATCAAGTTATAATCGAGAGGTTCCTTAAAAATGAACGCAGATTCTAAAATAACATTCTAAATTCTGTCGGATGATGCACAGTTTTTTGAAGAAACAATTAATGTGCTCATTCGTCAAGTTTTCATAAAATAAACCCACCTTACTCTGTACAATCTGTGTTCTTTTTTTATGAGGTTGGTCGACAGTAAATAAAATATGAGTCGTAGTTTGGATCAGAGACCGAATTGAATCGAGTTTTACTGCTTCAGATTCATTCTTGCAAGAACGATTCGAATTCGATTCATTTTCAGTCGTTGATAAGCGTGGTATTTTCCTCTTAATTTATTCTACAATAAAATTCTATCTAATTTAAATTTAAATTTTTTACTATTTATTTCTGAATTTAATAAGTTTTTGTAAACCTAAATTGATCAATCTGATTGTCAAAATACATAAGTTAAAAAAATAGATCAGAAATAGGGAGAGAAACTGGTATTATACGTTAAAATCGGATTATCGCTTCAAAAGATTTTGTAAAAAATCAACGAACCTCAGTTCCTATTATTTTCTAGTGATGCTAAAAAGAGTCAGAAACATATCTTTGATGGCAAACTTGAGAGATAAAAGGCTTTTCCTATTCCCATAGACAACCATACAAATTTAAACTTAGCTTAAATTAATTAAAATGGAACTTAAACTACTTTCAACATATTTAGATGTGAGTCACATCTATTTAAATTTTCTTAACCTAATGCAAATTCGATTTAAATTTAAAATAAGTGTAAATTATTATGCAAAATAATTTTCAATTTATTTTAAACTTAATTCTTGAGGAATTTATTTTTGAGTTTAATAAATTTTAGTAAAAGTAGATTCAATCATTCGTAGTCCTTGGTGTAAAACGATAGATTGAACGTCGTTTTTTTAATTACGAACAGCATCACAATTCCACAAAAAAATATTATACCTCAGTCAATCATTTCTCTTATGTGCTTGTCTATATTCATTCACTTTTCAACAATTAGGAAGATCTGGCTCAGTTCGACTCGGTTTGTTTTCAGTTTCTGGTTTGGATTTACATAGCAATAATAATTGTTTATTCAGTTATGTGCAGATATGGAAAAGTGATTTCGACTACCGCCTTCTGCAATTGAGATGATAGAAAGTTTGTATACTCGTCAATTTTAATACACATCCATGGCTTATTAAGAGAAATCAAATAAGGTGCTTTATGATACATAGTCATATACAAAGTTATGTTATGTGTTGAAAACAAATCTATAGTTTGTTTTATTTAAATTAGCATTGATAAGAAATGAGAAGTATTATGAAATTGTTAATAACTAGTGTAACGAAACCATCATTTAATTAAGAAGAAGGTTAACATTGATCAGAAATGCTATATTTTGATAATGTCGATCTATGGCCACATAATACTAACAATAAGAAAGAGTTGTTCCAGTTTATGAGGAAATGAAAGGAAATTTAATAGAAAATACGACTATTTGAACCATTTTTCGTTGGCATAAATGACAGAGAATTTCTTTTTCATCTAATGTTGGCTTTTAAAATAGTCGATTTTGTTTGTCAGGTAGTGGCTAATGATTTGAATCTGTTTAAGCATAAGAAAATAATCATTTTTATTGAAAAGAATCGATAAGATCTCTGTTTGAGACATAACTAGTAATAAACATTTTTTTTGTATGTTGTATATTGGTAAGTACTGATGGATATCCAAAGTTGAATTTGTATGAACTATGAAACAATACAGAACAGTCACATTCATTGTAGAATACTCTTTAAAAAATTGATGTGTTAGAGAACCATGATGAAGAGAATTTTATCAAAAATATTCAATTTTAAAAGATTGAATTATCTCATGACTAAATCATGGTAGGTTTCGAATAATGTTAAAAAGTCACTTTACACAAATCTACTTCGATGATTTGGAAGAATTCTGGAGGATAAAAATATATCAAGTGCTGAATCATTTTATATACATATATAAGATTTTAGTGTGGTTGGCTAAAACTTGGTCGTTTTTCTTCATTTATAAAGGATACATCAAATAACACTTTCTTAAGTAATTGATCTGTCTTTCATGGGGTTCATCTATTCGAGTACTTCCAGGAGAAGTTAACCACAAAAGACACGAATGTCTAGAAGAGTTTTTTTCATCTCTTCCATTTTTTAGAGCAAAATCGATTTTTGAAAATGCTGAAATAATTGATTCTCGGAGATCCGACATACTGTTAGCGTTACCTTGGTATACAGCTTCTGTGAGACTTCTCAATAAAAAGACGTTTACGGATGGTAGATCAGGCAACATTGCAGACCAATCAATTAGATCTCAGCAACCAGTCCATCTTGCCAGAAAGTTTAGTTCATATGACTCTTGAATATTACCCATATAGTGAGGCGAGGTACCAATCTTACACGAGAAGTGTATGAATAGATGAACATCTTCTCTCCCTTCCTACTCACACCCCACATTGAGACACACCGAATGAGATGTCACCAGAATGAACGAATAGAAGATGGCAAGGTCGGAGTGAGTGACTACTGTTAGTATCAATTAACATCGTTGACCATTGCTTCATCGCCGTGATGCTGAAAGAATTATGAATGAATATGGTTAATTCATTCGTCTTTACTAGAAAGAGGACACAAACAGTATCTTCAGAATGTGTCACTTTATAATCATGGTTTTCAATAACCAACAAATTCATATCCGCCTCCCCATTCCATCTAAAGTATTGTTTCGCTTCACGAAGTAGACTTTATTTCAACGTTATATAATCAACAAGCTCAACGACACCAAATAGTGTCGAGCATCATGTGATACTCAAATTCATGGCGTTATTGATTCTCTCTCTCAACAATTCTGTTTTTGGCGAATACACCTATTGCTCGATTCAAAATAAAAGGCTAGTTACTGTTTTTTGAATATTTTCCGATCGAGACGAGATTAAGTCTTATGATTTTAACTATTCAAAAGACTAGTAGCGTTTGATGGTAACGCAATCTAAAGCATGTAGCCATTCAATGGCTAATCTTAGATCGTGTACAATTGAAACCTGGTGTTGTGTTCTCTTACATATA